CGAGAAAAGTGTCTCCTTTGGATAAAGTTGTGTGGTAACGTTAGACCACAACATCAACTCAACGTGAATAAGATTAACAATGATGTCTACATCTGTTCTAAGGTAAGTCAACATTGTGTTTGAGGCAACATATTGTCACTTTGCTGGAAAGAAATATAAAGTTATCTTTAACATCTCTAGCTAACGTTAGCTAAAGTTAGCCTAACGTTAGCTCCTAGCTGCGTTGTTCATCATGTCACCTTGTTTGCTGGGAGTTCATTAGCCTATTTTGTTCTAGTTTTGTACTTTGGTGATCGTACATCATTGTTAGCTGTTGTCCAAAGGGCTCTAGTTAAGCTAACGTTAACTTCTGGAGCTTAGCTTCATTAACTTATCTGTAATGGCAGAGATAACAAAGGTTGGCAAACGTTATGCTGAATGATTCAGTGTAAATACTGTAGCACCAAACTAACGGAGAGACACTCTTGGTAAAGATGGTAAAAAGGCCGTTATCCTTTTCTCATATTCTGAGCCAAAAACCTTAACTTCAGTGGAACAATGCTGATCCTCTATCTTGTTGTCTTTGATTTTCCCCAAACCTAACCTTCTTAACTTTACAGTAAGTACATAATGTCATTGATGGGGCACCAGTTCATCATCGTACGACCCGTTGTATGAGGATACGCTGGTTAAGTGCTGAACAATAGAGGAGAAATCTGATAATATACTGTATACGTATATTGTGTTTCCTCTAATGAGCCCACACAGACCAGTAGGTTCATCCTCTCTCCCTGCATGCTTCACCCTTCCACTCATCCAAAGGAAAAACTCTCCCTTGTGCTGACATGTTTACTTTAGCGGATATTTCGCAGTACAGCAACCAGACGCAACCAAAGTGTCTCAAGTAAAAAAACACTGTACCCCCAAAGCACTTTAAAAGCTCCTAGCTGGGCGTTTTCTGAGGAGCAGCTGGCATTTTCGGCTGGGGAAAAAACGCTTTGGTGGACACGGGGCCTTACAGGATGAGGCACTCCCTCCTGCAGAGAACACATTGACACTGAGGAACCGGACCAACCAAACCAGAACCTAAACCCTGGATACAGAGGTTCAGTGAATGTGGTGTTGAAGGTGTGGAGGTGGATCAGTGTGTCAGAGGAGACTCTGTAGAAAGACAGAGTGCCAGCAGGACAGTCTACATACACTGCTACTCTACCAGAGGCAGAGGAGGAGGAGGAGGAAGAAGACGAGGAGGATGTGGAGGAGTTAGTAGTGATGGGTGTTCTGCTGTTGTTGTGCCAGACAGAGTAACCAACATCTGAGCAGAACAGACTCCAGGACTGATCATTCCATCCAAACACACAGTCTTCTCTGGCTCCTCTCCGTCTGATTCCTCTGTAACTCACTGATACATCCACCTCTCCACTCCACTCCACCTCCCAGTAACAGCGACCAGTCAGACCGTCTCTACACAGCAGCTGAGGCCAGTAGTCAAATCTGTCTGGATGATCAGGATACAGCTGCTCCTCTTTCACATGTGTCACCATCCTGTTGTTGTCAGATAGTTTGATCTTTCTGTTCACTGTGTTTGTGTCGAGTGTGAGCTCACAGGAGTCTGATGGAAAGAGCGAGACGCAGCTGCCGTTATTATTGTATCTATGACATCAGAGATCTGATTGAGTGATGTCACAGTTTGAAGATGGCTGATTTTCATGAATCAAATTCAAAACACACTTACACTTCCTCAGACCTGGTCTCAACCACTGGACTCCACCAGGCTCCACCCTGAAAGGAGGAGGGGGTCAGAGCAGCACATTCTCTTTCAGTATGGAAACATGGACATGACATCAGAGCTGCACAATATCAATCCAGAAAAGATGAAGGATGTTCTGTAGGGCAACAGTTTTGCCATTGTTGCATTGGAGGTTTGAATAAAGTGTTAATTTTGGCAGCTATTTTAGATTTAGTCTCAGTCTTGAGATGAAAATACTTTTAGTCACATTTTAGTCATTTTTATCCTTCATACTTTTAGTTCATTCATTTTTTATCTTCAAACTAATCCAGTGAGGGTTAACTCATGTATCAGAAATTAGAATCAATCTGACAGGTTGTATAAAAATTCAATTTAGACATTTTTTTTTCCTACATCTACAAATAATTTGTGCACAGTTCCAAACTGTCATGTCTCCAGCAGTGTTTGACAGGTTTAAGGGCTGATTCACGAGCACACATTTACTGATCATCATTTGAAAAGCTCAACATCTCTCTATTTATGCTCTCAACAAATTACTAATGTGAGTCAACTAGGATTTGTCCCCAGGTTCATTGTAAACTCTGACTTATCCATGTGACTGTTAAGAAGCAGAAACATAACTTGTTTCTTCATGTGCAACATGTTAGTCTGGAGGTTTAAACTGGTGTCCTCTCACAGAGTTGGTGATTCAAACTAAACTTTCATCTCTGTCAGAGAAAACTGATCTGAGTTCAGACTGTTTACTTACATCACAGCTACACTCACAGATAACTGAGCCTCCTACCTGCCTGTCAAACACCATCAACCCAGAAACCTTCTCCAGTCCGGACTGAGTGGAGTCCTGCGGGGTGAAGCTGTGAAGTCTGCGAGCGGAGCTAGCTGCTAACAGCCACCTCTGCATCTAACAAACTCCACATATCCATTCAGCAGCTCCACCATCCACAGTCAGACACACACGGCTGATTATTTACTGCTGAATTAAAGCTCCACTCTAAATGTTCCTGTGGGCTACTAAAACATCCTGGTGCAGACTACTTACTGGAGTTTACCAGCCTGTCACTCATGCAGCATTTGAAGATAATTGCAAGCACGGCTGATCTCTGGTTACAACGTCTGATCGTCCACCACGAACATTTTCATCACATCTCATCTCAACGAAAATGAAACATAGATTTTGTCTTAGACGATAGATTTTATTATCAAGATATATTTTTAGGTCATCATCGTCTTGTTTTCATCATGGAACAAAAGTCATTGATGATTAATTTTCATCATAGTTTTGGTAAACTAAATCAACACTGGTTGCCTATTTAGAATGAATGCTTATAAGCTGTCCCTGCTGTGGTACACACAAACGCACGTCAAGGCTGGCAGACTCTTCCCGAACCTATTACTTCGTCAACTTCTACCAATCAAATTAGCCACAAAACAATGTTTGAGGTCAGGCTAGGTCACTGCAAAGAGTATCCAAGTTTTGATTGTGGTTATGTAAGAAGCAGACACAAGCCTAGCCTGTAGCTTCTCGAAACTAATCTTGCTTACAGCAAGATTAGTTTCGAGAAGCTGTATGTTAGCTCTACCAGAGATATTTGGGGTTTTCCCTGCTGTTATATGGCCTAGGTGCCATACATATTTACATAAACATAACATGGAAAGTATCTCAACAAGCCGATGCATGGGACTGGACTGTTGGCCAGCAAGCAAAATTCACCAAAGTGAGGTGGTTGAGTCACTCTGTTAGAATGATGGGTTGATTAACAAATCAATCAACCTCAGTAAACTAAAAAGCCCCAGCTAAACTGGGTGTTGTCACGTTAACAAAGTTAGATGGAGCCATGAAGGCTAAACCTGACTGTCGTCCAAATTTCCAAATGTAATAGCAAGTTATATCCTACTTAGGTTGAGTGCAAACAATCCATTTTCTCAACTCTATTGCTCTCCTTTTGATCTTATTTCCTGACAGTGTTATAGGTAATACGTTTCTACCTCCTCTATCAAACTAATTGTCTTTGGCTGCCGCAGGCCTTTTCATACCTGATCGTTTCCAGTCTCCATTGTGGATCCTCCCGTCCAGCAGACAACAGCTTGACTCCTGAGTCTCCTGGATGATTGTAGCTCAGGTCCAGCTCTCTCAGATGGGAGGGGTTGGACTTTAAAGCTGAGGCCAGAGAAACACAGCCTTTCTCTGTGATCAGACAGTCTGACAGCCTACAGATACACAAAACAACACACGTTGCATCATCTGAAGGTAGTGTAAGGGCTAAAAGGTACTGTATCTATTAGTGTCATCACCAATATAAAATCTTTGAATCTAATACTTCCACTACCTCATAATTCAAATGACCTACATCTGTAAGGCTTTTATTATGGTTGGGTACATAAAATCTGAGTGGGTCATTTTCAAAACCTCCACTGTGGAGGCTGTCGTTCGGAGTTGTGGTCAGAAGGTCATTGGTGCCTGTTGTGATGGTAACCTATGGGGCCATACACATGCTGCATTTTTTGCGCCCTAAAATGAATTGTTTTCAATGTAGACATGCAGCAGGCATGCTCAAAACACCACAGTGATGCCACAGTGGTACAAATGCTTTCCCGAGCTCCTATTTTTCAGGGCGTGACAGCCTTATCTATATCCTTGGCAGATGTCTCAGAGTTAGGCATAATGTTCCTCAATGACAAGGTGCCAGGTGTGAATGCCATACACCCTAAAATGCTTTAGGGTCTGGACATTGTTGGGCTGTATTTGCTGACGCACCTCTTCAGTGTTGTGACAGGGGTGGGGACAGTGCCTGTGGAATGGTAGACTGGGGTAGTGGTTCCCATTTTTCTTTTTCTTTTTTAAATGGGACTAAGGTAAAGGAAGGTAAACTCCAATTACGTATCTGGAAATAACCCTGCAGGAAGGAAGCTCTAAACAACCGCCAAACTTAAGTTTCAAGAGTGAAAATATGATTTCTGTCCTGGCCATTAAAATTGACCAGCTCTTAATCCTTGCAGAGCTGCTAGAGGGGTCATGGTAATTTGCCCATCCAGTCTTTATGTGCTTTGTGGACTTGAAGAAGGTTTACAACAGTGTCCCCTCAGGGAGTCCTGTGGGGGGCACTGCAGGAGTGTGGGGTACCAGGACTGTTGCTTTGAGCCATCCAGTCCTTGTATAACCAAAGTGAGAGTTGTGTCTGTATGCTCGGCACAAACTCAAACACATTTTCAATGGGGGTCATCCCTTGTCGCTGATTCTGTTTGTGATATTCATGGACAGGATCTTGAGGAATGGAGGACAGTGTGCAGTTGAGGGACCTCCAAATTGTGTCCTGCTCTTTGCAGATTATGTGGTTCTGATGGCTTCATCAGACCGTGATCTCCAACACACATTTGCAGAAGAGTGTGAAGCAGTCAGGATGAAAGTCAGCACCTCCAAGACTGAGACCATGGCTCTCTGCCAGAAAATGGTTGATTGTCTTCTAGCCTTCCTCTAGCCCTTCTAGCCTGTGGTCATGAGCTTTGGGTAGTGACCGAAAGCATGAGTTCATGGATACATGCAGCCAAAATGAGTTTCCTCTGTAGTAGCTGGTCTCAGCTTTACAGATAGGGTAAGGGGCTAAGACATCCAGAAGGAGCTTGGACTACAGCTGCTGCTCCCCTTTTGAATCAGCATCAAAAGTGGCCAGTTGAGGGGGTTCGGGCATCTGGTCAGGATGCTTTCTGGGCACCTCCCGTTAAAGGTTTTCCTGGCACATCCAACTGATAAGGGGCCCTTAGGCAAACCCAGTGAACACATTGGAGGGTGTTATATCTCATCTGATCTGGAAACGCTCGAGAATGGAGAAGCTGGAAAATGTTGTTGAGGAAAGTGAAGTTTGGAATGCCTTGCTTAGCCTACTACCTCTGCAACAGGTCCTGGATAGGTGGAAGATAATGGATGGAGCTGATTAGATAAAGAGTTGCACGTTACAGACTCTCACTAGTTTGGACGAACATCAAACCTTCAACACATCACAAAGGTAAATTACACCACTTCAGATGCTCACAGTCATCTACAGCGCAGGAATCCAAACCAGTGTGGCACATAAGAGTAGTATGTTGTGAAAATAAATATAAAAACTATTTTCAACCACTCCTGTTCCCTCATTCAGCTACAATAATCCTCCAAAGGATTGTTTGAAAATAAGAAATAAATGACGGTTAACCACATAAGAGCTGGAGTGCACTGTTATATCAGCATGATGAGTACGTATTTACCAAAATCACCCTCAGACCAGCAGAGTAACTGCTCTAAAATTAAAAAGAAACTGTATGAGTTTACAGAAAAATGTTTGTTGGATAACCGGCTGGATGTGTCTAGATCTGCACAGTTACACAGTTCATGACTCAGGTTCTGACTCTCAAAATTTCTCTGGCATTTCAAGCTTCAAAGGCAGAGGCAGAATTACAATTACAATTACAATTACAATGAGAATGTTTTCATGGAAAGCTATTCAAAGGGTCACCTGAGAGTTTCCAGTGTACAGTGTGGACTCTTCAGTCCAGCAGACAGTGTCTTCACCCCTGAGTCCTGCAGGTTGTTGTCACTCAGGTCCAACTTTCTCAGACTAGAGGACTGGGAGCTGAGAACCATGGACAGAGCTTCACAACTTCTCTCTGAGAGGTTACAGCCACTCAGTCTAAAAAGACAATAAGTGAAGAATGAAAGAAGTTATCAATCTTCCTCTCGAAATCTACCCTCTTGAAAAGACAGTGTAATTAGAAGTGTAAATAGCCCTCTACCTTTTTACTTACAGAGCTGTGTTGGAGGCTTTGACCACAGGCAGCAGCCTCAGCAGAGCCTCCTCTGAAGCAGAGTATTTCTTCAGGTCAAACACATCCAGATTTTCCTCTGATGACAGTAAGATGAAGACCAGAGCTGACCATTGAGCAGGAGAGAGATCATCTGTGGAAAGACTTCCTGATCTCAGGTACTGTTGGATCTGCTTTACCAGAGAACGATCATTCAGTTCATTCAGACAGTGGAACAGATTGATGCTTTTTTCTGCAGAGAGACTTCCCTCAAACTTCTTCTTGATGTAGTGGACTGTACCCTGACTGGTCTGTGAGCTACTTATTTTAAGTCTCAGCAGGCCTTGTAGTAAAGTCTGATTGGTCTGCAGTGAAAGACCCAGAAGGAAACGGAGAAACAAGTCCAGGTGTCCATTTGGACTCTCTAAGGCCTTGTCCACAGCACTTTGGTAGAACTGTGTCTCTGCAGATTCATCTTGTCTTGATTCAGACTTCTGGGAGGTTGTTTGTTCTTCTGCCATCAGATTGACTCCAGAGTTGATGAAGTTCAGATGGACATGAAGAGCAGCCAGAAACTCCTGAACGCTCAAATGGACAAAGCAGAACACCTTGTCCTGGTACAGTCCTCTCTCCTCTTTAAAGATCTGTGTGAACACTCCTGAGTACACTGAGGCTGCTCTGATATCTATGCCACACTCTGTCAGGTCTGACTCATAGAAGATCAGGTTGCCTTTCTGCAGCTGATCAAAAGCCAGTTTTCCCAGAGACTCAATCATCTTCCTGCTGTCTGGACTCCAGTGTGGATCTGTCTCAGATCCTCCATCGTACTTGATGTTCTTCAGTTTAGACTGAACCACCAAGTAGTAGATGTACATCTCAGTGAGGGTCTTGGGCAGCTCTCTTCCCTCTCTGGTCTTCATCACATCCTCCAGAACTGTAGCAGTGATCCAGCAGAAGACTGGGATGTGGCACATGATGTGGAGGCTTCTGGATGTCTTGATGTGGGAAACGATTTTGCTGGCCTGTTCCTCATCTCTGAATTTCTTCCTGAAGTACTCTTCCTTCTGTGGATCAGTGAACCCTCTGACCTCTGTCACCATGTCAACACACTGAGGAGGGATCTGATTGGCTGCTGCAGGCCGTGTGGTTATCCAGAGGCGAGCAGAGGGAAGCAGTTTCCCCCTGATGAGGTTTGTCAGCAGCACATCCACTGAGGTGGACTCTGTAACATCAGTCAGGATCTCATTGTTGTGGAAGTCCAGAGGAAGTCGACACTCATCCAGACCATCAAAGATGAACACAACCTGGAACTCTTCAAACCTGCAGATTCCTGCTTCTTTGGTTTCAGTTAAGAAGTTATGTACAAGTTCCACCAAGCTGTACTTTTTCTCTTTCAGCACATTCAGCTCTCTGAATGTGAATGGAAATGTCAACTGTATGTCCTGGTTGGCTTTGTCTTCAGCCCAGTCCAGAGTGAACTTCTGTGTTAAGACTGTTTTCCCAATGCCAGCCACTCCCTTTGTCATCACTGTTCTGATTGGTTCATCTCTTCCAGGTGAGGCTTTAAAGATTTCTTTTTGTCTGATTTTTGTTTCTGGTCTGTCTTGTTTCCTGGATGCTGTTTCAATCTGTCTGACCTCATGTTCATCATTGACCTCTGCATTCCCTCCCTCTGTGATGTAGAGCTCTGTGTAGATCTGATTCAGAAGCGTTGGGTTTCCTGCTTTAGCGATCCCCTCAAACACACACTGGAACTTCTTTTTCAGGTTAGATTTAAGTTTATGTTGACAAACTGCAACAGCATATCCTGCATGAATACACATCAAATAAGTTCAATGAACAATTTATAAATTATATATTTCAACATTTCATTCCCCAAAAAGAATGAATATATGATTAAACAGATGGGGGACAATTTGAAGAAATATAATATACATATAAAATATATCTTCAAATTTATTTAGTGATGTCTGTGATTGTCTCTGATGTATTTTGTCCTATTGTTATTTCAAGCTTTGTTTGTGTTTCTTTCTATCTGCTGTAGTCAAATCTATCTTGATGTCTCAGCCACTGACAGGTTAACTGAATAACATTGATCATCTCGTACAGTGCAATGTCCTGCTGGGAAACCTTGGGTCCTGGCATTCATGGGGATGCCACTTGACATTTACCATGTACCCAAACACTGTTGCAGAGCAAAGAAACCTCCTCACGGTAATGGCACTACCCAGTGGCAGTGGAATCTGGGGAACAGGGGCCACATTGAGGCCTTGAGCTCTTTGTTGCATCCATCCAGCCGTTCCTGAGCAGTTTTGTCATGCAGAGTGGCGCACTTTCTGCTGAGGGGGCTATTGCCATCGGGGAGTGCCACTGCCTTGACAGTGGTGTACTTGATTTGCAACAGTGTTTTGGTGGGTTAGGCATGCCAAGTGGCATCGTTATGAATGCCAGGACCCATGGTTTCTCAGCAGAACATTGAATCCTACAAAGAGGATCAATGTTATTCACTCATCTGTCAGTGGTTTTAATGTTGTGGCTGGTCGGTGTATAAATGAGGGAATATCTTTGGAGAAATTGTGTTCATCTCTCCAGTAGAATTCCACAGACTTGGCAGGGAGCATTAAAGCTGTTCTGGAGGCTTGTGTAAGCCTGACTCCATACTAAGAGACTGCATGACAGACAACAGTTTGTCCAGATGAGGAACCACAGGTCAAGGTGCTCTGTTGTTTCACTGGGTGTCCCCCAGGGGTCAGTATTGGGTCCACTTTTATTCATCATCTACCTCATTCCCCTGGTCACAATCCTCTGTCACCATGGTGTTCATTTCCACTACTACGCATACGACTCACAGTTCTACATCTCCACCAAACCCTCCACTGCCCTTCCTCCCACCTCCCTCACCACCTGCCTTCAGGACATCAGGAGTTGGATGAGCAGGAACTTCCTGAGGCTCATTGGAAGCAAAACCGAGGCCCTGCTCATCAGTTCATAAAACACCCTGGCCCAAAAACCAAAGCACCCATGTCCCTCACATCATCACTGATAACTTCCCTGTCCCCTTCTCCAGCCACGTCAAGAGCCTCGGTGTCACTCTGGACAGCACTCTTTCATTTGAACCACACATAAAAAATATTACCCAGACCGCATTCCTCCACCTCCGCAACATTTCCAGACTCCGCCCATCACTGTCCCAGTCCAGCACTAAAGTCCTGGTCCATGCCTTTGTTACATCTTGTATTGACTATTATAATGCAGTACTCTGGCCTTCCCACCAAACTCATCAATAGGCTTCGAATCATTAAAAAATTTGGCTGCCCGGATCATCACCAAATCATCCAACCACATTACCCCCATTCTCATCCAACTACACTGGCTCCCTGTTCAGTACCGGATTGATTACAAAAACTTTTTGCTCACTTTCAAAGCCCTCCACAACCTAGCCCCCACTTACCTCTCTGGCCTCCTTCAGGAGTACACCCCCTCCCGCTCCCTGCGCTCTTCCCCTGCTGGTCTCCTGACCATCCCCACCTCACGCCTCAGCACCATGGGTGCCACGACTTTCAGCTGCACTGCCCCCAGGCTCTGGAACTCCCTACCACCACACATCTGACAGCATGACATCCTTCAAATCCAATCTCAAAACCCACCTGTTCAAATCGGCCTATGCACACTGACTATTCTCTTGAGACTGTAGTAAATGTTCCATTTATCCAACATGTTAAATCTTCAGAGAAATCCTCTTACTGCTCAGCAGACAGTCAGCAAGCTCCTCCTGTTTCATTCTCCTGAGGAAGTCTAGTGTTATCTTCAGAAATGCCTTTCTGCTGCTCCTCCTCAGTGCTTCAGCCTTACTGTCCAACACCTCCTCTTCCTCCTGACTCTCTGAGCATTCCGGATGATCTGAACTCAGAGCCCTCTGGATTTTCTTCAGCTCAGTTTTCACATAAGTGACAATGTTCTCCTCCAGCACCTGGAACAGAATATTCAGTCCAGTCACCAGTAGAAAATGTTGACATATTACCTTTCTGCAAACCACAAATACATTATATTTGCATATTTCATATGTAATATATTAATGTTTCTAAAGTGATGTAGTATATGAGCTGACTTTGTCATCAGGAGGTGGAGGGAATGCTGCCTGACGTGACATCTCGGCGAGATGCCAGCCAAGCTGCAGAGCTGCAACAAAACGTTTGTGATTTTGGAGTCATTGCTAAATTTCCAGCATCTTTTTGGACACCAAACTTGGGTGGTTTATAGTTGTTACTGAATTTTCAGCAGCTTTTTAGCCACCAAACATAGGCATTTTGTGGTAAACTGTTGTTGTATTTCCAGCTGCTCTTTAGGCACCAACAGTGAGTATTTAAAGAAAGCCTTGACTGAATTTCCAGCTGCTTTTTAGGCACTTACAGTGGGTGTTATGTAGCACCCCGTCACTGAATTTCCAGCTGCTTTTTTGGCACTAAACCTGGGTTTTTTGTAGCGACCCCTGGCTGAATTTCCAGTGGCTTTTTAGACACCAAACATGGGCGATTTGTAGCAACTCGCTGCTGTCTTTCAAATGGATTTTTGTCATTAAATAATGTTTTCAAGTGACCCATCACTGTTTTCCCAGCGGGGGATAGTGGCACAAAGAGAAGGTGTTTTTCATGGAGAAACCGTTGCATTTCATGTCAGGATAGTGGCATGAACAACATTTGTTTTTTTAACAAGACATTGCTGCAGTTTAGTGGGGATTGTGCCCCAAGAACTACATTATGATTTACCTAAACTATAACCAAGTGGTTTCTGTGCCTAAACCTCACGTTAACCACAGCTTTGTTGAAACATAAAGTTTCAACGCATTTGCTACAGAATAATGAAATTTAACACATCTGTGGTTTGCAGAGACATACAATACCAACAAATTTTCTGTTGATTTGGTTGTAATATTAAATGAATGAAACAATCACATTAAAATGGTCGAACCATATCATACCATATTACATCTTTAATTTACAGACTGACAATCCACTCATCTGAAAAGTGCAGCACAGAGATGATTGTGAACAGAACAGATGTAAAAGTAGTTGTAGTACATGTACAGACCATAAATATGGAGTCCAGGTGTGGCTCATGTTGGGCACACTGACCACTGGGAACGTCTGAGCTTTCCTCGTCCACTCTGAGGAGGAATCACATAGAATTAGCTCACATTATGTGTTTCCACACAGAGATACAAGACAAAGGTCCATGAAGTGATATTTGCATGTAAAGCTGATAACTCCCTGTGATGGTAAATGTATACTTATCCTGCTGATTCCACTGAGAATCAAGAGCTCACTCTATGGCTGGTTGTAGCTGACAGCTCAGTTTTCTTTCATGTCATTTAGGGCATTAATTCATTAGGACAACACACATTAAGCAGCATTACTGTGAATGAGCCAGTGTTAGGCCCCGAACACACAGAGAGCGTTTTGCAGGTAAAAAAAACGCAAGGTGCACCACACTGCATTTTTAAAAAATGGAATGCCAGTAGTAAAAAAAAAAAAAAAAAAAAACAGGCGGCAACCACGGACTCAACTGCTTATTCTATCCTTCCTTCGATTACAAATTCAACTGGGCCAGTTTTTAAAACCAGAAAATGTCGATGAGCGATATATATTTATATACACATATATATATATATATATATATATATGTATATAATCTTGAAGTTACATTCCCATCATCTGCACGCGGCTTATGCTGTTGTCTGACTTCACCCTGTTGTGTCTGTGTGTCTGAGTGTGTGTGTGCTGTGAGGGGGAGGTCAGCCCTGACATGCAGAGAGCAGAAGAGAGGCTGCTTCATGATGATACATGGAACCAAAACTTAAAAAAAAAAATGATAAGAGCCAATTACAGCAGAGCTTATTATTATTACGGTTTTAATTAATTTTGCCATGGGCCATCTAGTACCGGGTCCCCATACCAATCCCTGCCCGGACAAATCAGAGGTTGCTTCTGAGCCGCATGTGGCCCGAGGGTCGCTAATTGAATAGGCCTGATGTGCTGTTTATTTATTCATTTTATTTATTTGACAGTAATCAGTGTGTAGTTCCTGACATGTTGAGGCAGAGGGTATTGTCTGTAGCTCTGGTTGAGGGTGAGAGGCTGTCAGCAGATAAACAGAGATCTGTGTGGGTACATGAGACCCTAAAAAAGAGGCTGGATCATGGGGAGTACCACCAGTTGGTCCAGGAGCTTCTCCACGATGGACATTTCCAGGCATATTTTAGGATGACTCAGGGGCAGCACAACCTGCTTTCCAACAACTTCTACCACCAGTTTCTCCTCCATTGTTTACCTAACGTAAACTTGTTGTCATGACCACCAAAGAAGGCCCGTCTCTCAGATCATATGATTGGACAATGGGAAAAAAGATGACGAAAAAAGAGATGACGTGGGGCGTTTTTGTTTTTGTTTTTTTTTTTCTTTGAGTTGAGTTTTTTTCAACTCGAGGAGTTCAGAGTGGTCCAGCAAATACGCCAAGCATTTAGTGTGCAGAAATGCGAGGCACGTCACAACGCAAAAACAGCAAGAAAAAAAACCTTCACTCTCACAATTACAAAAAGGTGCCTCCAGCTGCTAAAACACTTTCTTTGTGATTAGGGCCTCAGCCATCTGGTTAACCTTCATTTTTGATGTGATGTTTTGAAACCAGAGCAACAGGAAACAGCAATAATTACCACAGTGATAAATCAACAGTATCCACTACTCAGTACATGAAACCATGCAAGCAAGCAACAAAGAACAGCTAAACAGTAGTGATTATAGCTACTTTTGATGCGTGCAGAAATGCAGAGCGGCAACTAGCAATAAGACATAAATAAAATATAATAATCATATTGGGCAATCTTGATAAAAATCTTAAGTTAGACCCAACAGCTCTCACCAGCCCCTCCATATAGCTCTCCTTCCCTCACTGTACACTGCTGAATTGCCCTGCAACAAGTCCTCTCCAGCTGCTCCGGTGGAGCTGCTCAGTGTCTGCTTGTATCAGACTGGCTGCACTGGGCAGCTCCCAGATGAAATAAAGATACAACAAACCAATAGAGCTTCTCGAGCGTGTTTGTTCGAGAGAAACTTATGAGGAAAAAGTTCAGTCTTTTAACATGAACAACAATTGACCTATGGCTAAGCCCCGCCCTCAAACGCAATGAGCCAATCACAGTGCATATAGCCATTCCCATACACTTGGACATTCTCTGCCTGGACGTCCATTGAAATGCATTACAGAAAGTCAGTTTGTTCGGTTTTATGAGCTTTTTCTGAGATTTGAAGTTTAAAAATGGTCAAACGGTGTGCATGGGGTACATGCAACTCTGACACAAGGTATCCTGAGAGGCTGGGCGACCAGGTGTATTTTTTACACTTTAAACCACATCTCAACCGAGAAAAGTGTCTCCTTTGGATAAAGTTGTGTGGTAACGTTAGACCACAACATCAACTCAACGTGAATAAGATTAACAATGATGTCTACATCTGTTCTAAGGTAAGTCAACATTGTGTTTGAGGCAACATATTGTCACTTTGCTGGAAAGAAATATAAAGTTATCTTTAACATCTCTAGCTAACGTTAGCTAAAGTTAGCCTAAC